GTACATCTCCCAAATCCCCTGCGCAGCTAGATGGCTGCATTGTATTTTAGCTCACCTGAGCTGAAAGCTCAAGTGAGCTTTTCTGATCACATTTTGTCTGTAGTCCGTCTGTCTGTAAACTTTTCACATTTTCGACTTCTTCTCCAGAACCACTGGGTCAATTTCAACCAAACTTGCCACAAAGCTTCCTTGGGTGAAGGGGATTCAAGTTTGTTCAAATGAAGGGCCATGCCCTCTTTCAAGGGGAGATAATTAAGAATTAGTGAAAAATGAATAGCATCTTTAAAAAATCTTCTTCTCAAGAACCACAGGGCAAGGAAATATGAAACTCATTTGGAAGCATCCCCAGGTAGTGTAGATTCAAATTTGTTCAAATCATGACCCCCGGGGGTAGGGCGGGGCCACAATGGAGGATCAAAATTTTACATAGAAATATATAGGAAAAATCTTTAAAAATTTTCTTCTCAAGAACAGTAAAGCCATGAAGAGTCATATTTATATGGAAGCATCCTCAGGTAGTGTAGATTCAAGTTTGTTCAAATCATGACCCCCGGGGGTAGGGCGGGGCCACAATGGAGGATCAAAGTTTTACATAGAAATATATAGGAAAAATCTTTAAAAATCTTCTTTTCAAGAACAGTAAAGCCATGAAGAGTCATATTTATATGGAAGCATCCTCAGGAAGTGTAGATTCAATTTTGTTCAAATCATGGCTCCCGGGGGTTGGGCGGGGCCACAATGGAGGATCAAAGTTTTACATAGAAATATATAGGAAAAATCTTCTTCTCAAGAACAGCAAAGCCATGATGAGTCAAATTTATATGGAAGCATCCTCAGGTAGTGTAGATTCAATTTTGTTCAAATGATGACCCCCGGGGGTAGGGTGGGGCCCAATGGGGGATCGAAAGTTTTACATAAGAACATATAGAAAAAAAATTTCTTCTCAAGAACAGAAAAACTATGTTAGTCTTATTGATATGGAAGCATCCTCGGGTAATGTAGATTCAAGTTTGTTCAAATGATGACCCCTGAGATAGGGAGGAGCTACAATGGGGGATCAAATTTTTACAAAGGAATAAATGGGAAATTTCTTTTAAAATCTTCTCAAGTACAACAAATTCATCTGTTATATTGACATGAAAGCATCATCAGGTAGTTTAAAATTCAAGCCCCCCCCCCCCCCCCCCCGTTCATTACTGAACTAATTTGTGCCTTAGTCTAGCCAGTGTACTCAGGTGAGCGATGTGGCCCATGGGCCTCTTGTTTGAGATCTGCATTATTTTTCATACACGTTTGACACGCTTTTCATTAATGCTATCAGAATGTTTACTTCTGCAATGTGCATGTTTTCATACTGATGTTCTATTAGGTCAGTTGTTAAACTCCCTAGTTTGTATGAGCTTCTTCGTGGGTATTCTTTTTTTGAAAAGTTTCATGGTATCATTGAATCCAGCTATGTCTTTTAAAGGGTCATTTATGTAGAGTGCATATGGTCGACACTAGGATGAGCGTATCAAACTTGGGGTTGTTCGCAACAAGCAACGGTGACATTTTATTCAGCCATGCCAAGAATTCATCAATTGCAAGGTCGCATATTGTAGATTCTATTGGAACAAGCTTATAACACATGGTCAACCCATGAACTTCAATACCAGTAAGCTTTGACACTGCAAGCGGAATGAAACCATTTTTTGGCATGACGAATCTCACATTAAAGTGATCTGAAGTAGTATCATCATCCATGATTAGTTTTTTATGCCTCCGGATCGAAAGATCTCGGGGGTATTTTGTTTTCGTCCTGTTTGTCTGTCTGTTGTCAACTTTAAACTTGCCCATAACTTTTGATTGGTTGGAGCTATGACTTTCATATTTCATATGTATATTTCTTGTGACAAGACCTTTCCTTTGGTACCATCATTTTTGACCTTTTGACCTTGGAGTTTGACCCACTTTTGCAAAATGTTATGAGACTTTAACCTTGGCTTCTGAACAGTTGGTGCTTGGAGTTTCAAACTTCACATGTGTATTCTTTGTGACAAGGCCTTCCTTTGGATACCAACAACTTTGACCTTTTGACCTTGACGTTTGACCTACTTTTGAAAAACTTTCACCTTGGCCATAACTTTTGAACAGTTGGTGCTTGGGGTTTCAAACTTCACATGTGTATTCCTTGTGACAAGACCTTCCTCTGGATACCAACCACTTTGACCCTTTGACCTTGATATAGGAGTTTGACCTACTTTCGAAAACTTTAACCTTGGTCGTAACTTTTGAATGGTTGGTGCTATGGCTTTCATACTTCACATATGTAATCCTTGTGACAAGACCTTTCTTTGGATACCAACAACTTTGACCTTGACGTTTTACTTATTTTTAAAAAACTTTAACCTTCGCCATAACTTTTGAACAGTTGCAACTAGGGCTTTCAAATTTCACAGGTATATTGCTCGAGACAAGACCTTTCTTTGGGTATCAACACTTTTTATCGTTTGGCCTGGATTTTGACTTACATTTGAGAAACTTTAACCTTCGCCATAAGCTGCCATACGGGGGCTTCAGTGCTTCACAAACACATCTTGTTTTTTTTTAAATTACCCTTTGTCTTTCAGTGACTTCAGACTTTTAACTGTTAGAAACGGCTCCGTTCCTTTCGCTGATGCTGTCCAATTTCTCTTTAAGTTATGATATCTAACTTGTTTATGCCTTTTGGCGTATGTGCACTTCCGACATGATCTGCATATTAAAAGAAAGTTCGGATATAGTGGTGTTGTTCTGGTCCGCGCCTGTCCGTCTGCCACACTATTTTCTCCCTCAAACTACTCATACATTTTTTAAAGCAGTAGCCAACTCATCTTTTGGAATATGATTGGTGGTGCGTTGAAAATGTGCAAAAATTTTTAGAACTTTTTCATTTTACTCTAGGGGCCAAATGGGGGTCAAAAACAGGGTTTTCTACAAAAACCTGGTTCCCTGAACTCCTCTTACATTTTTTGCAGTACCCCATACATATTTTGGAATATGATTGGGAGTACAGTCAAGCCTAGTTCATCCGGGCGCTTGTGTTCCCAAGAAAATCGTCCGGATAAATGAGGTTTCCGAATTACTGAACGGATCCTTTATTATTGGTATAAATATGTAAATTCTGTACCCAACTCTCGTCCACGGAAGGTAAAGCAGCTGGATAACTGGCGTCCGGGTTAAAGAAGCTACACTGTACATAACTGATCTGTTAATAATATAGGTCCGCATCCCTGTGTCCTCTCCCCGCTGGATCCGCTACTGAGCACAATTGTTGCCTTTTTTATCCTAGAATATTTTTTGTGTCTCTATTCTCTCTGTTTGTGTTGTGAATCGATTTTTCGTAAACAGTATTTATGCATTCACCGATTTAGTGGAGAATGAACCCATATACTAATCTAGGCAAACAATAACAGGATTTCCTCGAATTTAGAGTTGATACCACAGTCGTATAATTACAGGGACTCGGGATTTTATCTAATTTTATCGGGATTTTATCTAAATAAGATCTTTGATTTTGCACTATGTAAATGAGACACACTGACTTCTTTTAAACTGTTGAACTCTTGGTAAAGTGGAATAAGATAGAAGCTACCTGGTTCCTCATTATAAAGCAAAGTGTCAACCTGAATTGAAGACTTTTTTTTCAAAAGATTGTTTTGAGCAGTCAGTAGATCCGCGCCATAACATAGATTTGGCGGGAGTACAGGATTCTGTGTAAAAATAGGTCCTGTTGTCTCCATTGAGAACAACAACATGCATGCATGTGTGCATCCACCATACTGGTGAGTTAACAGGAGCATAACCACTTTACTGGTGTTTTATCGACACTGTTACGTAATTTATGCGTGACAAATTAATTGATGTGTATCGGTTGAACAAGACTAGTGAGTGCGGGGAACGATAGAAACCAATGGAAAGCAGAGAGAAAGGTGCGTTAAGATGTATATAGCTTTTGTGTATTGTTTATTATTGTCAGTAATTTATTTGCTCTATTTCTAACAGCTTAATTAATTAAATATTATTCTTTTGTTTTACTGCTCTATTTCTAATTAATTAAATATTATTATTTTGTTTTACTTTGATAGTAATTTTTACACTGAACAATGTTTTTTTTTTCCCAATACGTGTGCATGTTGGCCAGTCAGGGGAAGTTGGGGGGAGGGGGTATCATACTTCACTGAAGGCATGTAGCATCGTTTTTTTAAAAGAAAGGGGTGAGCCAGAAAATAATTGAATGTTCCTGATTTTTTTTTTTTTTTGGACAAGAACCCCCCTTCCCAATTCTACATGCCTGACTGGAGCCCCTCCCCCTTAAACATATATTTTGTAGAACTTTTGCAAATATACGCAAGTCATGTAGATGTTATGTCTGCATATTTGTTTATGTGCATGTGTTAGTCATTATTGACTCATTAAATTAAGTTGTGTCTAGGTTCAAGTTTATAAGTGTTGTGAGTTTGTTCCACATGTCAGAGATCAGAAAATTGTACAGGAACATCAAAGGTTCTCATTTTATTCAAAAGAGTATTTTTTAAAAAATCAACAATTTCCTTGCATAACCATGATTTTATATAAACACTACTTAACAGTGATCCAGGATGTGGGAAACCACAGTTTGTATATGATAGAAAAATATTTAAATTTGTACAGTTAAAACTCAAAAGTTAATAAAGAACTGAACTGAACTGTACAATTTAAATGACTGTCTAATAAGTTTCCTGATATCATCAACTTTTGATTTAAAGTTGTAGTTGACTCTAAATCAAAGGAATAAAACTCTTTTCCAGATGGGACTTTTATGGTATTTATGTCTTTTTTTAAAGTCAAGTATACTTGACTTGATCAAAATCTCTCCACAAAAACATCACTTATAGATAGATACATAAATCCATTTTTATGTGATAAATCTGCTTGAAGTAGAATGGTTCATGCCTTAAATTATCAGATAGGAAAATTGATGACTTGTCTCTTTAAATTTTATTCCATCTGTTACAGTTAGATCAATACAAGGTGATTTTTAACCTGAGTCGATTTCCTTGTGTTTATACCTGCATGTTTCCTGTTTCATGGCCGGCTATGCATGACAACCCACATAGATATATTACACTGTACGAGTCTTGTCATTAGAAGGAATGGGAGTTTTTGTTCTGTTGTAAACAAACGTGTAATGAAGCCTTAGAGACACAAAGATGTCGAGGGGACGTTTGGACCATTCTCGCTCAGGTGTGTATTAAATCTTTATGTTAAATGTAGTTATGTGTTTTGTTACATTTAAGGGATCTACAAAAATAAATGTAGAAGATGAAAATGAAAGGGATTAATAATATAACAGAATTTAAGCACTGTTTTGTCAATTTGGAATTGTTAGTTTGACAAATTAAACATTGTAATCTCTAACTTATAATGTATACCTTAATTGTGTATCACAGAGCATTGACCTAGATAGTGAAGAACTGTCATGGCATGTTATAGAATTCTATATGTCTTATGTGACCTTTGTGTGGACATTTTGCCTGTAGGATGAAACTTAGTTTCTGTTTGATTGATGTTGTACATATAAAAATGCACTAGTTTTATAACAGAATTTGATAATTTTCTTTTATATTAAAGAAAACTTGTGTCATTTGCACATCTGATTATGAGCTTGGTTTGACGTCATGGTTGTGAAAAAAACCTTTAAATTATAATAAACTGTTAATTCTTTAAATGTTACATGTGCAGCTGATCAGATTTGGCAAAATTTCTTATTTTAGTCACTTTCTCATTGGGTTTCATTTCTATATATAGGTGTTGCATTTAAAAAAAATTATTTAAATGTCTTGGTAAAGTGTTAAAGGTAAATAAAATTTATTTTCTGTTTACTATATATTGGTTTGGATCCTGGATATGGGCCTGTGTAGCTCAGGGGGTAGAGCACCTGACTAGTGATGCGGGGTTCCCAGGTTCGATTCCTGGTCCAGCCATACATTTTCTCCTATCTTGTTACAACTATATAACTACTGCATGTTGATTTGTTTAGTTTCTCAAACAAGTGAAACTCGCAATTGGGACAATGAATCTCAAACAAGTGAAACTAGAAAAACAGGATAATGTGCATGTATCATGTATTTAACTTTAGTTGGGTTATTAATTTCTAAATTGAGAGTTGAGTCTAGAATCTTTGCTGCATCTTCCCAAAGTTTAAGAAACTTGTAAGAGTATGTCATCAATGCTTGTTAGTGTGTAGATAAATCTGTTTTCCTTTGCTGTGTGGGTCATTGATCTTGAAACAAAGTCTTTTATATGTTTACAAGATTGAAGACATTAACCTAAATTTTGGCCTTAAAATTAAACAAAACTTCTTTATATTTGGCCATTCAAAGTAACATGCATCTGGCCCTGCCCTCACCTCCCTCCCCCTCCAACTGCACAATTAATTATTATACTTAAGCGATCTGATTAAAATCAGATCTTTGTTATGTTCTGAAAATCATATACTAAGTCACTTTGTACAGCAACTATAATAATTTTGGAGTGTAACAAAGATCTGATTTGAATCAGATTGATACTTAAATAGTAAGGTGCATCAATATTACTATCAAGTTTTTTCTAGTTTTGTGTAATATTTTTTAATAAATGAATATTTTTAGTGAACATTCCACCATTACCAAAGACAAAAGACCAATTAAAGGAAAAAAACAGGAAACTACGCAAAGAATTGGACACCCTTCGTCGGCAATACCGAGATAACGTTTACAGTGTGATAGAAAACCTAAAGAGACGGTATAATGAAACAAAAACAGATCTCACGCCCAGCTACGAAAAACTGAAACATTTGATTAAAGAAGCCACGAGTGATGAAGTTCTAGAACGATGCAGGGTACCAGAACACAAGCATTCTGTACAAAACAAGGGTATAGACCACTGTAAGTAGACTAAGTACTGGACTCGGAAAATGTTTATAGAGTCTTATATGTTACATCAAGTACACCACATCCAAGTTAATGATAATCCAAATGCTGATGTGGTTTAGACATTTTAATCACATGTAGTGAAGTTAAGAAACTGTATAAAAGGGAAATAACTCCTGTAAAACAGAGTAGACATCACAAGATGCATGTTTCATTTTTGTTTAAATGCTCAAAGCTTGGTATTTATATATTGTATAAAGTTTTAGTCTTTGGAAATGGGTAGTGTTTGAAATGAAGATTTGTAATACTGAGTATTTCAGGGGAACAAAATATATACCTTCAGGCTAATTTAAGGTGTGTTTGTCACATATATTCAGGGTTTTGTCTTTTACACTGTACCTAACTTCAAGATACATAAGTTAATGTATTAATTTTTATGCACATAGCCAGTGGCAGATCCAAGATTTTTAAAAAGGAGGGGTCACATAGGTTCAGGGCCTGGGGTACATATGATAAATGCAATATCTAAAAACAAACGTTACAAACCCGAGGGGGGGGGTTTAGGGGATTGCCCCTCTAAATCTGCCAGTGGTAGTATTTGTTTCTAAAGAAATATACCAATATCTCTAAAAATAATTTTGTAACCAAGTAAATTGATTTCATTATATTGCACTTTGAAATATTTCTACATATATTCTTTTGTAGCGTTTAACCATAATTCTAGTGCTAATGTAGAGCTCCACATTAAGGATGCAGTAGCGGCTCGATATGACCAGCGTAAAGGAGGAGCTGCTGGATTTCTCCAATCTTGTCGGGAGTTTGCGGGGGTGGGGGAGAATCACATACAACAGAGAAGACGAGGTGTGTTTTGATGTTACATTGTTACTATTTCAGTCTATAAAATGATAAAATACAAAGAGGACACACCTTTTCATTAACTTTATTATGATTGCTAAAATTATTATATATTTTGGTCTGATTTGTATACTCTGCCCACAAGACTTTTTCTTTATGTACATACACCTGGTACACTTTAGTTGACTCTTACTGAAATGTTCATGATTGAATAGCTTGTCCTTTGATGACTGATTGTGAATTTTCTTCCAAGAAAAACTGAATTTATATTTTATGATGATGCATTGAAAAAAAAGGGAGTTTATAGATATGTAAATAACATTTACAACTGATCTTTTCTATCCATCATTTTACAGAGGTTTCGGTGATGCACAAGGCTGAGATAGCAGACGAGAACGAGGAACTGAAGCACCATATACAGTGTTACGACAGCAAGTTTTTACGAGCACACAACAGACTGAGTAAACTCCGACAGGAATACGCCGAGTCCAAACAGTACCTACCTCCAAAACGATACCGTCTGCTCAAGGAGATGATTGAGACCGTCGTAGAAGACAGTAAACTTAAACCTGATTGATTAAGGAGTCACATCTTAGGGACTGTTTTCTAAATTGGCATTTATAAATCTACTTATGCACTGATGGTGGATAATCTGCTTTGTATTATTTTTGTAGATATATTGTTTCATTTTACATTTTATTTTCTAATGATATTTGCATGAGCTGTATTTAATGGATGATTGACCTAAATCTGTTACAGTGTAAATCAGATCTTATAAATAGCTATTATTTAGGTAACATACAAATTATGATACTTTTAAATTAAAGCCTTAATTAATCTGTATATGCTGATCTAAATATAGCACTAATATTTCACATCATATTCTTCGTACATTTGATTAATTCTTAAGTAGAAAAAAGTGTGTATACTGTGTATAAATGTACACACCTCTTTACTTCTCCATTTATAAAAACTTTAAAAGTGTTTCATTTAGCTAAAGTAATGGAGGAACAGAACTGAAATTTAACTACTGTATATTCCTTATTTTTCGCAAGTTCTTATTATCACGAAATGGCCATTTAACGCAAAAATTACAAGAATAATAATTCGCAAATGGACGGTTGATCAAGAGAATTTATATGGATTTCAGCACCATAAAAATAAAAGCGAGTTATTTTATTTAGAGAGTGATGCTTCTCGCGAAATTACGCGATAATTATTTCCATATAATTAGGAATTTACAGTATCTTCCTTGTGTACATGATGAAACTGCTCAATGGCATACTTATAAATTAAGATCTTGTATTAATTTTATACAAAGAATATGTGCCTTCAATGCATAAATTATGGCTCTACTGTAGTTGAATCTCAGAAATGAAATATTTATTTGCATATCATGTCCTTTGTTTTGTTAATGTTGCTATTGCTGTTGTTGAAATAAACTACAATAACAAGTTTATACTTTTTAATGAATTGATATTGGAACGATCAGTTATTATATATTATTATAACAGTAACTTGATCCGAAGAGCTGTATCACGTTGAGTTGACAGGCATGGATCATCAGATCAAACGAGACGCGGAGCGTCGAGTTTGATCTGATGATCCGCGCCTGTCAACGAGATGTGATACGGCTCTTCGGATCAAGTTACTGTTATAATGAAAAATTTATTATATACCCCTGTAAAGTGAGCAAATTATAATAAAAGAAAACTTTTGGGATAATTTGCACAACTTTTATCCATTTAGCAAACCATTTTGTCAAGAAACTTTTTGATACGCGAGAATAAAACATCATTTTTCTGTGTACTACGTCATCACTTTCAGAGAGAGGTGATATGGAGTCAGAAAACCACAGTGTGGTGATCCGGAACGTCGGATCACACGGTCACGTGATTGCACAAATTCAACAGTAAAACTGAGTGATAAACAGTTAGGTATATAATACAGTATAGAAAGCCTTTACCTATTGAATTCAAAAAGCACATAAAATACAACTTGACACAACTACTGTAATGCCCTTGTTTCTGTGGAAATGATCATTTTTGCATGTCTGACATCATTGCTGAGAAGTCTATAGTAAAACAAAGCTTGGCTCTGGATGGATTTGTCTGAGTCCTGCAAACACAACTCCAAAATCTGTCCCAGAATTCCCTGCATTGCAGCAGGGTGATGGAAAAACACATGCACACAGGTCATTAAAATCTGGTATTTTATTATAGTGCTTGTCTCATTATGGAAGTTTTCCACATACTCTTCTAAAATGTAGGGGCTTTCCTCTAACAAATTTCCATATTGTGATAGCAAACAAAGGAAAGCCAGACGGCCTTCAGAGTCGGTCAATTTCCGATGTTTGTCAGCTATTTTCATTATTATATCTGATCCTTCATCAATTGTATTTAACTCCAAATTTTTCAGAACCTGAAAGATATTGGACAGTATATGTGGGGCTTCTGAATCTATAAGTTGTTTCAATTTCTTGATGACAATTGGTGCGGTGGTAGGACTGGATTTGAATACCTCTGTGACAGCTTGTAGAGCACAGAGGGACACCTCTTTGGATGAGTTTGAAGCATGAAGAAATAATTCTCCTAAAATTTCTTTTGCATTATTTTCCACTGCAAGATGTGGTAACGCTACTAATTTTAGTTTCTTTAAATAAAGTGGATCACTTTCTTTACAGAAAAATATTGAATAATGTGGTTGCAACTCTGCCTTTATTTCATCTCTGTATGAATTAAGATGTTCTAAGATATGAAAAACTAGTTCTGTATTTCCATGGGGAATTGCTGCCACAATATTCTTAATGTATCTTTTGAAAACCTGAGGTCGTAGGTGAGGTAGAGTTGAAATGAGACTGAGAAATAAGTGTAGACAAGCTGAAGCCACAGCAGTGTGATTACTGATGAGGAAGGAATCCAGAATGTTGAGCATGTTGAACAACTCATCCTGTGTTTTAGGTTTATATTTCTGTAAGATGCTAAGGACGTAGCATTGACCCCAGGGAGTCAAGCCTTGGAGATTATTCAGGAGGTGGTTAGCAATGTTCCTATTAATCACAATCCCTCCTTCCTTACTTAAAATCTCCTCTAAAGCCATTGCAGAATTCACAATAACAATAGGATCAGAATCCCTCAGCATGGTGTACAACTGATTGATTAGACGCCCATCATTGTACAGGTCCACGTTCTGCTTGTACAACCTTCCACAGCAGCACGCCGCCACTCTCCGCACATAAACACTCTTGTCTGTAAGACCCATGTTAATTCCTCTCAGACCATATTCAATAAAGGACTCGTGATTAAGAGAGGACAAAGTCTTCAAGGCCAAGCCTCGAATCACGGGGTTACTATCTGAGCATTCCTGCATCAGCGTGTTGACAGCAAGAAGTGAAACCTCAGGGTTTTTGTTGGCATACAGTGCTGTGAAATGGTACACTGCCTTTTTGGTTGCAAGATCCGGGTGAGCAAGAAGCTTGAGCATCCCTGGCAATAGCTGAGCACAGTCTGTCCCATTCATCTGCAGTCTCATAACCTGTAAATGTGAGGGACATTATATAATATTATTCTAATAATTTACCCCATTGAAAAGTTCACAGCATTCATTGAAAAATATATTTACCAGGGTCATAGTGAGAAGTAAAAGAATTTGATTAATAGCAAATTACTGCTGCTGATATTCATCAGAACAGGGAAATATTGCACTTCCCTTGTGCCACTGTGCTTAGCTATTTGATTGTATACCTACTATATACATCTGCAATGTTTTTATCTTTTTGTACATTTAGGGTATTTGACTGAGCATGCACAATAAGTATACCTTTGTTAACACAGTCCTGCACACTGCAGGGTTCGAGTGTACAGTCAGCCCCCCAAACTGAGCTGCAATGTTCTCCAGTTCTGAACTCATCCTCTGTGACCTGAAATCATAAAATACCAAATGTATGATGAAGAAATGCAAACTTGAAGCATCTCATGCTACCATATATGATTTAGATACATCAATTTGTAGAAGGTATCTTACTTTTTTTAAGAGAAATTTCTTGAAGGAAAGTATCCATGACAAAAGTCAGAACATATTCTTAAGATTCCTTCATGCAGGAAAAGGACATCTATATGATGTAATACAACCACATGATAAAATACAAAAATGCTTACAGATTTTATTATACTTCCCCCCTCCTTGAAAAGTGGGGTGTGTATATACAATTGATGGGGTGTCCGTTCGTCTAGCTGCACGTCCGTTCACCTGTCTGTTATACTTTGGGGTACACTTCTCTTATCCACAACTCCTCTTATACCACTGAATCAAATTTAATGAGACTTTCACAGAATCTTTGTTACATAGTGCCATTGTGCGCCTCCTATTTTACTTTTTGATCAGACACATATTTCGGGTTTCCAATAGCATAACATAGAACACTGCCATTCTTTCTATAATATTAAGGGGTACCCATTTCTTATCCGCAACTCCTCCTATACCACTGAATAAAATTTAATGATACTTTCACAGAATCTTTGTTACAAAGTGTCATTGTGTACCTCCTATTTTACTTTTTGATCAGACACATATATGGGTCTCCCATAGCAAAACATGGACTTTGCCATTATAAACATATGGGCGGTGGGGGGTATCATTTTGTGAGCTCAGTGCTCACAGTACCTCTAGTTTTTGTTTAAAATGAATAAAAGACAACTAGGTTGTAATTGTTTCCTTTGATGCAAAGTATAATTGTATTCTGACTTGAATTGTAAGCACCTGAAATTTTATCAATAATTTGCAAATCCAACCTCCCTTTTATATAAAAACACAAGGTGCCATTTTGACCCTCTCCTCGATTCAGGCTCATTATTAACCATAATAATTGGATGCAATACCTAGTGCTCTGTATCAATAGGTTCAAATCCAGTGTGGCATTTCTTAATATTTATACATTAAAAAGCTTTAATTCAACAGGGACATAAAACTAAGTAACATATAGATCATAGGCACTCGTTTCTGTAATAAAAGTTTCTCTTCAAAGCTTCATAGTACATTGATTGTATAGTACAGCCCTTCCAAGAATTGCAGTCTATTTTGCTTTCATAGAAAATGCAGTAAAAAACTAGGATTTGATGGTGTGATGCAAGTGTAGTGGTCTGGGCCATGAATATTGGCCTGGGTAGCTCAGTGGGTAGAGTACCTGACTAGTGATGCAGGGGTTCCAGGTTTGATTCCACAACGTTAATAATTAATGCTTTGCACTTGATACACACAAATTTCCTTCAAGATGAGATCTCCATTACGTGCAAAACCATAGCTCTCTGGGACAGAAAATTTTGACAGGCATACCATTGAGTTACAGATCCACCCATTGTTAAACTTTAGAGCCCTTGATTTACAGAGATTAATTTTTGCTGCACACTTCAGATATTAACTATTATCCAGCAATATATCCATGTTGGAGTCATGCTAAATTATGCACACCATAGAAAATTCACATGCCATGGAAAACAAAACTCAAACCATTTGTATATTATTTATACAATAAAATATGTTCAAACCAACAAAACTCCTGTCATTTTGATTACCTATCTTATTTCTTTTATATACTATGTATAACTATATGTATTACAGATGACATTTGATACAAAAGATTTTGAATAAGATTTTCTCAGTAGGCTTATTTCCCCCGGCATGCATGTTTAAGCACAACCCCAACATGAATTGGAAAAAAATTTTAAACTGACATTCAAAGGTAACAGAGGGCTGTTTTGAGCTGTTGAAAATAGTGATCGGCAATTGGACAAAAAATATTAATAAGATGATCAGATTACAGTAATCAGAGATACATATTCAATCAATTTATTGAAAATAATCAAAATTTTCTTAATGAGAAAATAAATTTATATTCATTATGATTTTGTACTAAATAATAAAAAAAAAATTAAAAAATGTGCTGTGTATTCCGTGAAACCTATAATTTAATTGCTACAGTCAGTATCTTCCTGTAAAATTTTTTTTGAACATCATCACCCCTCATTATTGACTATTGAAACTAATGTAAAGTCAAAATAAAATAAAATTCATAATGAGATTGATATCCAAACATAAACATTTAAATATAAATGATTTTGACACTTAAGTACAATGAATCTTGATTATATTGTTTATCCCGCAATTGCAATAGACGGTTGTGTCATTGGACTCATATCTAATGACGGTTATGCAGGTTTGTCATTTATCTTGCTAAAACGACTAAATTAAGGCTCATGCTTCACATATCATTATTCATGGAACTGGATAGATCTGCATGTTGTTCCTGACTTTCATCATTGTTTTATCTGTCTCGTGCCAATCGGATGGACAAGCTTCTACTGCCATTTTTATTTTGTCTTCAGTTAGGTCACAGTAAAATAAAGGTAAGTTCGTACAATGAAAAACTACCAATGTTGGTGATTTTCAATCATGAAAATAACAATTAATCTATTATTCTCTTGGTTTCATTTATAATGACCGCTAATTGGAAGTCGGCCACAATCATTACTTCACTAGTTAAAGGTAAATGAAGTTACAAATGTAGAAGTAAAGAATATGGTTAATAAATGAATACCATATGCTTAAGGGGAATGTATATAATGTGAGAAATAATGCTTGAAGCCTGCGACAAAAAATTATCGCTGCAAAGGTTTTTCACAATTTGACAATGGGTGGATCTGAAGCTCTCCAGTATGTTTGTACAAATTTCTGTTTCATAGAGCTACAGTTCAGCAGCTTGATCTCCATCAACTGATGTTAGTAAATATCAGGGATACTACAGAAATCTTAGTGGTTTTACTTACAGAACAGAGGCATACCTGTCAACTCTCCCGATTTTTTCGGGAGTCTACCGATTTTGAACCCATTCTACCGCTTGTCTACCGATATATTTTTTACCCCCAATTTCTACCGATTTTTAAGAAATCCGGAATTTTTACCGATTTCGCTTTGAATAATACCATATTTCCTGTGAAAGAGAAGATGGCAGTTCATTGTTTATCGGTAGATACATGTTTATTGCCGCTGATAACAGGTAATCAACAAGGTGTCAACTGTGCTATCAGTGATTACTGGGATTGTAATTGCTTCCGATTCTCATTAGCAGAGTTTAACAGAGACAGGCATGCCAGATGTGGAAATTTTAGAAATACACATTAGAAAAATGACAACGGGATACGAGGTAGTGACACTCTGCAGCAAAATATGACAATATACTAATAAACGGCTTATAAATGGAAATAAGTTTTAGAAATATGGCATTCCTTATTATAATCACGTACGAAGTTTTTAAGCATGGAAAATACACCACCAAAGCCAAAAAAGAAAAGATACGTCTGCAAGTACCTAAATTCTTGGGAAAAGGAAGCAGAATTCCAAGGTTGGCTAACAAAAAGTGTGAAAGGCGAAGATCATGCTTTCTGCAGATTGTGTATGAAAAATATAAAGATTGACCACGGTGGAAAAAATGATCTTATGAAGCATGTTTCATCAGCAGCTCATCAAAGCAGCAAAAAATCACAGAACGTCACAATGCCAATACAAAATTTCTTGACAACTTCAAGTGATGAAGGTAAGACATATCATAATTTAAAGAACTGCAAATTGCACTTGTTTGAAATTGGTAAAATATGTACTGAAATTAATGAAAATGTAAATTTTAATGAATGTAACAGACATAATGTCATGAGGGAGAATGCAGTTAAATGATTTTGTAATATTTAAACATGCAAAAAACTACATATTTATTGTTTATATTTTCAAGTACATTAAGTTGATCTTTGACAAAATAATTTCCATTTCAGGAGTGGTGAAAGCAGAGTTTTTATTTTCAAATTTCATTGCGGAGCACAACATCCCATTTGCTGTTGCAGATCATTTCACCAAACTCTGCAAGTCCATGTTTCCTGACAGCCAGATTGCTAGAAAATTTGCCTGTGGCCGCACAAAGACTACCATGATTGTCAAGAACGCCCTTGCCCCTCAGCTTCACAAGGAAGTAGTTCAAAATTGCAGGACAAAGCCATTTTCCTTAGCCTGTGATGAAAGCAACGATAGAAACTCAGAGAAAACCCTTGCTATACTTGTCAGATACTTTGACAATCAGGCAGTAACTCGATTTTTGGACATGCCAATTTGCAATGTGGGAACTTCACAGAATATATTTGACCACCTTGAACAAGTTTTTATGTAAGTTCAGTGTGTATAGATTTTATATTCAATATCCTTTTCTTTTTTTTTTTTTTTACAGATAAAGATTTCAGTAAGGGAATTGATCTTAATTTATCAATATATTTTGTAGAAACAACAACATTCCTTGGGAAAACTTGATTGCTTTCTCCTCTGACAACTGTAATGTCATGATGGGCAAGAAGAATTCAGTGATGACAAAGATCAAGGAAATGCAGCCACATGTTTTTGACATTGGCTGCATTTGTCATTTGGCCAATCTCTGCACAATGGCTGGTGTCAAAAGTCTGTCCCTTCCTGTAGATGACCTCCTTGTTGACGTCTATTATCATTTTCACCATAGGTAAAACATTTATCTAATAAATACATCTACTGGTAATGTTTAACTTAGTTTTCAGTTTTACATAGTTTCAAATTGCACACTTTATATCTGTTATCTTGACCTTAGATTTTATTTCTTTTCTTTTAACAGTGCATTACGTAAGGAAACATACAAGGAATACTTGGACTTCTGTGATGTTGACCCTTCAAAACTTCTGAAGCACTGCTCAACCAGGTGGCTAAGTCTTGAGAAGTGTGTCAAAAGGTTGCTGCACCACTGGCCTGCTCTGACAAGCTACTTCAACTCACACAGTGATGTAGAGAAGCCTGGAAGAGTTAAGAGAGTGGCAGAGCTCCTCAGAAGCCATGAGATGAGGATGACATTCCACTTCTTAGGTTATGTGTTGGAGCCATTGAATGAGTTCAACACTACATTTCAGGTATATAAGCTATAATCTTAATATATTGATAATTTTGTTTTAATAAGTCACAAAATTACAGAACTGTATATTACTTATTTAAGTACTGATTTCTTCTTCTATCTTTGTAGGCTGATGAATCAAGGATTGGATATCTTGGAGAAGAAATCCACAAACTTCTAAGAAAATTCCTTGGCCGTTTTATAAAGGCAGGAATAATCAAGAATTCCAAGGACCTCATCAGTGTGGACTTCCAAAACCCAGAAAACCAGCTCCAAGATAACATACTTGCAGTTGGAATTCTTACCAGGTCCTACATTGCAGAGAATGATGAGGATATTCCACCAGTAGACTTGGCAAATTTTTTCCAGTAAGTTTAGATTCTGACCTTTTAAGTTTTTTAAGCTGCCAGTTCTTAGCTCAGTTTAAGTAAAGCAAGTAAATAAATAAGTTGCTAAAAAAACTTCCTTCAAATATTTGTGGTATGCAGTGTTCATCATGTATTAAGGAATGTTGCATTAATATACAAAAACTCATATTGATATTATACCTCTTTGTTTTTGTCTAATTCTAGGAATGTAAGGGGGTTCTACTGTGCCATCACAAAGAAAATGTTAAAGCACTTTCCATTCAAGGACCCAGTTGTCAACAATTTAGGATTCTTGAATCCTCACAGAAGGGAAGAGACCACCTTACAGTCTATAGTGGAGATTGCCAGAAGATTCCCTGTCATAGTTCAGGAAAAGGACTTCCCAAAGTTGGAAGAGGAGTATCTGGATTTCAGTGTTTCTCCTGACTGTGACCTTCCAAACTTTGAGAAAGGGCAGACAAGAATAGACTCATTTTGGGGAGAGATGGGGAAAATCACCAACAAAGTCTCTGGAACACCAAGATTCCCAATTCTTAGTAAAATTGCTCAGTCTATGTGCTGTATCCCAAACAGCAATGCAGATTGTGAGAGGGTGTTCTCCCTTGTGAGAAAAATACAGACAGAACAAAGATCTTCCATGGACAATCAGACACTATGTAGTCTTCTATGTGCTAAAATAAACTGTAAAGAGGAATGCCATCAAGTGAAACCTTCTAAGGACACTCTAAAACTGACTAAATCAGCAGCTTACAATTACAATAAAGAACATTAAAGTGTATCATTTGTTATTTCTTAGTTATCAGTATGAACAAAAAGAACGCGCGATGACTTTTTACCATCAAAAAAGGTCGTCGCGCGTTTTCTCCCCCAAAAAATATTTGGAATGTTGACAGGTATGCAGAGGGTCAGTTGAGGGTGGGATTCTTCGATTTAGTTTTTTTTTTTTGGCAGTGTTTTGAAAGGGGGCAATTTTTAGATAAAATGTCGGATGAACGTGTTTGAGTAGGAGAAGAATACTTACTCAAAGTTCTATACAATATTAATACGCAGAGTTATTAAATAAAAATTATCCAGCTGTGAACTTTTGTTCTAACCGAAACAAGATCCGATGATTGAACGCTAATTTTAAAACCCCACGTAACGTATCCGAAATAAATCTGGAGCTCTTCTGTGTAGAAGTTGAGAAAATTTTCATATCCGGTAAAGTTTTTGAAGGCGAGTCGCAAGACAAGCACGTGTAGACAGTGTTTACATTTTCTCTGAGGTTTATTATTCCTAATCATGGCCGAATTCGTGCAACAGAGCATCGAGGAGATGCTTCCTGAGCTTGAACAGATGGAAAGAATAGGACTGTTTACGAAGGAAGAGACAAAGTAAGATTAAATGAAAACCACAGCTGTACCACTCAAATGTCAGTGAATCACGTAGGTCTATCAACATTAAAGTGCAAATTAAGGTTTAAAATTGGTAATTTGCATTTGATAATTTCCAGATTATTTGAAAATTAAATATATGTATTAATTGACTCAAATTTTTGACTCAGTTAAGAATAAGTGCCCACAAATTACAGATACTGAACGAATTCCAAGGAATGAAAGATACTGTATTAACTGTCATACTGTTGTTGAAAATGAATATCATTTTTTTTTATTTGTGTGTCCTCTTTATAAACAATTGCGAAGTGAAAATTGGTACACTTATTGACAATATATGTAAATCTTATAAAATTCTTAATCCAGCAGATATTAAATAAATAAGAAATATTTGTGACTTCATCATGTTCATAATTGATGTATTTGATATAATAAAATCTATGTGACTTAATATATTGTATACTGTTAGATAGAACGTTCTATCGTTAAAATGATATTGTCCTATGGACCCGGTTTAACGATAGAATTCCTTCTGTGTATTGGCAATGTTGCAAAATAAACACGGGCAATAACTCAAACTCTGTGCATTTTCTATGAACAATCCAGAGAGTTCCGAATGTCAACATGGCGTTAAATTTGAAGTGAGGAAAAATGTTGCGAAAATGAGTTGAATTTTCGTATTTATATGGATTATTTTTTAGGTTAAAAGGCATATACAATCTCAAAAAGGTTTGTTATAATAATTATTAAATTTGGTAGTTATTTTCAGTGCAACTCCTTTTGTATCCTTCAAAGTCATTTTGGAGTGGATCCACTCCGATTTGCTACATTGCAAGTATATGGGACGTATTCTAACTGTGGTGAGGGCTTGTCCCGAGACACAGTTAGATTATTCTAACTAGTATACTGTATGTATGACTTGCGCCACATGTGGTTTTTGTAAATAAATAAAATTAAAATAAAAGTTTTTCACCATGCGATAATATATAATAGGAAAGTTTGACTCTAAATACCTTATTTTCAATTTCTTTTTTATTTTTTAGTCAAATATTAAAGAAAAGGAGGGCATTGGAGTATAGAATGCGCAGAAGAACAAAATACAAAGAAGACTATATGCAATACATAGAGGTACTAACTATATATCAAAGTTTTTAAGCCATGATTGTTTGTCTTATCATTAAGAGCCTCTTACATGAAAATTAAATTCAAAGATAATGCCATGGTATGGGCCATGGATGTAGGCCCGGATAGCTCAGGAGATAGAGCACCTGATTAATGATGCAGGGTTTCAGGGCTTGATTCCTGGTCCAGCCATACATTGTCTCCTTTCTGGTTTCATAATTTGGTGCCATTGACCACCTCAGGACTTGCAGGTGAAAGTCCTGCCAGGGGCAATAAGAACTTGGGTTGTATCTTCAAGGGCAAAGACAATTTAAGGAGGGAGGAGTGTGGTGGTTTGGGCCTTGGATAGCTCAGTAGAGCACCTGACTCGTAATTCAGGGGCCCCGGATTCCATTCCAAGTCTTGCCATACATTTTCTCCTTTCTTGCTACAGCCATATTTTCCACACTTAATACTTTGATTTAATTTCAGTATGAAAAGAACGTCTTAGAGCTAATTAGCAGAAGAAGGAAGGTATGTATTCATTGTTCAAGCTTCTGAATTATCAAGATTATTTAAATTTTTCTTAAAAATTCCATTGAAGCTGTAATTAATAATCAGACATATTATATCAATAGAAAATAGATTTAAGTGATTTAAAGAGATTAATAATGATGACATTTACATTCATATTTCTTTTATTTTAGAGTTCTGGGATTCATTACAAGAAGGTTGAAATTGATTATGCCATTGTTCATAGAATTCACAGACTGTACAGGGTAAGTTTGTCTGCTCTCAGAATTTACAGGTGTGTAAAATATCATTACAATAATCCTTTATTGATAAAGGATCTCGTGGTATTGAGGTTTTACTAATTAATGCAATGACACCTCAACTTATATCCTGTATTTTCCTATATTGGAAGTTCTTATTACGGTTTTCCAATCTACAGTGTGAAGAACCCTTCTAGTTTTCTTTGGCTTTCTTTAAAACACTTAAACATTATGGAAATGATGGCATGTTAAATGATCTTGGTAGGATTTTAAGCTAATTTCCCATCACTGTGTCTTCTTGGAATTATGTTCTGACTTACATTTTTTGAGTGGACTACTCATGCTTAAGTTAGAGTTGAAATTTACAGGAATATTCCACATGACTTTAATGTGTTAGGTATTTTGTAATTCTTGTTTGTACTGACTGTTGTGTGATTTAAGATATGGAAAATTTACAACTTAAGAGAGAGTGGGGTGGGGTGGGGGTGGGGGGCAGTAAATGTCATCTATCAGTCCATCTGACAAGCTATTTTTTTAATGAAAGTTAAAAACCAGTAGAGCTATATTATCATCAGAAATTTCTGATTTTGTTTCAGCATGTGATTGCGAGGTTTCAGGTGAGAATATTAGGAACCTTTTATATTATTTCTAAGTTATTATAAGATATATGAGTTAAACAACACACTTATATCACATATATACTCATAATAAAATAGAATGAGATATATACTGTAGATTCCTATTTATACATGAGGAATCAATTATTGTGTAATTTTGTGAGAAGCACCACTCGCGAAATAAAGTAACTGGTACTTGCTTTTATTTTCATGGTACCGAAATCCATGTAAAATCTCTTGATCAACTGTCAATTCGCGAATTATTATTCTTGCGATTTCATGTTTAGCCATTTTGAGATAATAAGTACTCGGGAAAAATTAGGAATCTACAGTATATATTTACTCTTCTTTCTGCTGTTCACAGAGTGATGTAGAATTATGGTTGTCACACATCAAGTTTTCCATAACGAGGGTAAGTCTGAATAATTCATAAAATATTTGGTATTTAAAGAAGTTGCCATACTTTTGTACCAAATCAAACATTGGATAGCCTCTTTGAACTAGACAGTATTATGTTTTTACAGAAAGAAAAACCTACTGTGAGCAGAATATTTACTCAGATGCTTCAGGTGCATAGCAAGAACCCAGGTATTGAAACATACACATTATATGGCTTATGTATATATCACAAGCATCAAGTTCAAATAGTGGTGATGATCTACAATATACTAAGTGTCTTGTACATTTAATATACAGACTATGGTTTTACAAAATGTGTCTTTTGGGGTGAGCTCTAGTCTTTAAATCAATTGACTTCATGTTATTAAAAAAGCTATATAAGATAGTCATGGATTTCTGCTTCTAAATTCCTTTTTTGTAGATCTGTGGATAGCTGCAGCAAAGTGGGAGTTTGAGAACAATAAGAATGCAGATAATGCCAGGAACCTGATGCAGCGGGGACTGAGATTTAATCCCTCCTCTAAACCTCTGTGGCTCGAGGTATTGTATCTCGGGGACTTATTTACTTTTGTTCTTTCTTGGAGGACACCACTATAAAGGCTTCTGAAATTATGATATTTTAAAACTACATTTATATCACTGGGAAAACGAAGAAAATGAGTAACAACATTTCTTACTCTTGTTTTATTTAGTACTACAGACTAGAGTTGCTGTTTGTGGAGAAAGTAAGTAAGAGTTTAAGAATTAAGAGTCGAATTTCTAATCATAAAAATGGCTTTTTATTTGAATGGTACTAAACTGTATTTCAGCTTAGAAAGAGAAAAGAATTATTCCAAGCATCAAAAATGAAGGTATTTATATTATATACTGTATATACTGTAGGATTGTTTGTTTATCTTGAAGATCTCTTGAAGATCTGTATATGTTTTACATCTGATTATTATAATCGTAATTTTTATTTGTCCTTATCTGGATATTAATTTGATTCTTTAGAGTGAAGAACACAGTGAAATACTAGAGGGAGCTATCGCACAGATTGTCTACAGGAAAGCTGTAGAGGCTTTTCCAGGTACGTACAGTATTTGACTGTTTATCAGCACTTTTTATCCAATTATTCCATCACAAAGCTTGGTATTGTTTAAGCCTAGGATATATTTTTTCTTCTGTTGGCTATTTTAACCTTATTATATTTTAGGGGACCTTAAATTTGCCCTATCCTTTTTGCCTATCTGTAGGACATTTGATTTCATGTCGAAACAGGAAGATGCCATGCTTGAAGGGTAGGCAACTCTTTCTCAACCCCTCCCTCTCTTCCCTCTAACATAGACTTTTTGTATGAACCTTTACTTTGAACTCTCACTTTGTGTCTTTCTTTCTCTGATATTTGTTTTTTTGATTTGCCTGGTTTTGTAGTTTGGAGACACTCTATCCCAGTGACCCCTATTTGTGGGAGGCTAAGGCCAAGAGACAGCTCGACATTGACCAGGATCATCCTCTGGGTAAGCTCAAACCTAGGGTTATTTATAAGCTGCATAATGTTTAAGTATGAAATGTTCAAGTTTTATGATTAATCATCCCTGAATGTGAGTTATTTATGTTGATGAGGAATTTTCATGCATTTTCAGAAATGTTTCATAAAGTTTTTGAAGAGGCTACTGAAAAAGTGAAAGAGGGTAAGTCAGTGCAATGCAATCTATATATTTGGTTGTTTGTAAGTTTAATGTTCCTTCGAGAATTTTTCACTCATATTGAGATGCCACCACTTGCTGGTGGAGGGCTGCAAATTTTGGCCTATACTCGGCACTCAGGACCTTTGAGTAGTGAGGGATCTTTTTCGCGCCAGCACCTTCTGTGATACGGGACCTCAGTTTATGTGGTCTCATCTAAAGGACCGGTCTCTGCATAACACAGCGAATTCGAACCTGTGACATATGAATCAACTCCTTACTGCACAACTCTTAGAGCAAATGCTCTAATCACTGCGCCATGCGGGCAACCATTCAATATATATGTACACCTGTATATCATTTACTAGTAAATAAGAGAGCAGATATTTTTGCATTGCAGTAAGAAAAAATACAGAAAATAATGTGGTACAAAATATTTTAGGAACAGAGGATTGCAAAATCATTTATATGTGGAGGAAATCATAAAAAGTGATCCTGCAAAGCTTTGTTTTTGTTTGGGTTATGCCTCCTTGATTGTTTGTGTAGGTTGCACAAGTATTAAATTTTAACTCTTTCATATTACTAAAATTATGCAACTTCAAGTGGACAGTTAAAAACAGATTTCTTTTGCTTTTTTAAATATTTTAGTACCAAAAAACTTAGGAACTCAGAAAGACAAGTGAGTTTATTGTCATAGAAATAAAACAGGTGTTTGAAAGTTACAGGTAGGATGTAACCACTGCCTGTTTTAATACCATATATAAAAAAAATCAACAAGACTTGTATCTTCATAAATCAAAACTTTTGTTGTTTATCACCTCAGAAAAATGATAAGCTTCTGTTCAGTGGAAACACTCAGATCTGAGAGGGAAATAAGAATGAATTAGCCTTAAGTGCATAGTAACACCTGCAGTGGGTCATTCAGTTATTGTAAAACTTAAGTCTTCATATAAAAAATAATGTCAAAAAACTGAATTCTTTTCATTAGAAAATACCATTATTTCAATTTTCTTTTAACGAAACATTTGATTTTCTCACATGGTAAAATATCACTGACATTGCTACAGTATACACATACTTCATAATGATAAAATCTAGAGAACATGTAAATGAGATAGGTAAATCTTCAAGGATATTTTTTAGAAATCAGAGTTCTATAAACAATCTTGTTTGTATTTGTTCTCATGGTACGATATCTTTAGTATTTGAAGTATCAAAAAAGTTTTTTGACAGCAATCATTTAAATCTGTCAATATCTCGGCAGAAAATTGGATAGCTAAGGCACTTTAATCCTAGCTGCATGTCAAAGTTATAATATTGTATGATCAGGGATCGAATGAGGATTTTGTGATGAAATTTAGAAAGCAATCATGAAAAATAATCCTTTGTCCGATATTGACTTTGTATTAGAGTTTAAAACCATTTTTCGATTATCAAGGTGCACTCTGTCAGCAAAGATTTATACCAGGGTTTTGGGGACCACAATTTCTGCAAGGTGCCCCTTATATTGGAGTGGCTTTTCAGGTTAGCTGGTCATATGAATACTGTCATTTACCCTTTGGAGAAAGATACAAGACAGACATGGAATGTAGTTATTTCTCTGGCTAATTATTGATAAACTGTCACGTTGGGGATACCCAAGTATTTTTGTAGTGACAGCGGGATGACGGGTCTTTACAGGGTGGGTCTGATGGAGAACACTTGACAAAACAATGTGTTATCTGTTGCAAAAACTGCAGGCCAGAGGCATTAAATATGGCTCACAAATGGCTTACAAATGGCTTCCCTTATTTCATGAGAAAATGAGAATGTCTAGTTGCACAGATAGTTTTAAGGTCTTACTGTTTCATTCAGAATGCCCTAAATTATAATATTTTAAAAAAGGTTTTTTCACTGTATTATTCAAATAATTGATCAATCAATTCTGTTCATGAAGGATTATGTTGTAACGCAGGTAAACTGGCCGAATTTTAATTAATTCTTTTATTCTATTTATTTCATACTTTACAGATTTAAGAATTTCAGGACATTCTAAACGCTTAAGATGTTTAACAAACTTATTTGTAGTAAATATATGTTGGTGGACAATGTTTATATTAAGAGGTCTTTGTGCAAATTACTGATTAAAAGAAAACAAGCCTTTTACACACATGCAGTGCAAAAAGATTATTCAATTAAGTTTGTGTTGAAAAGTGAAAAGCGAATATTAAGTAGTTTTAAAAAAGTTTTTTTTTCTCACAATTTGTTAAGAATCCAAGTTTGGATATTTGTGAAAAGGACACATTCCACTGAACAAATTTACAGTCTCCATTCAAAGAACTGTGAAAAATGTCTTCTAAACCAGCATCTTGTCCAATTTTATGTAGGTGGTCTGGGACCTCTTATGTCGTTGATGATTTGTGCTCAACAGGAAAATTATTATTATTTGAGTGCTGCGTCTTGGTCCTGGATTAATTTTCATTGTAATTATGCCGTAATATTGATTACACTGTGTTTTTTACATTATATTGTATCGTAAGTTACTAGTTTCGGCAATAAATTGACCACATTGTATTGTAACGCTCTACATTGTATTGTGTTTAGTTATAAACACACTACATTATATTGTGGTTACTTAACACACTACATTATATTGTGGTTAGTTAACACACAACATTATATTATGTCTGTTAACACACTACATTATATTGTCAATTTGTGGGGCACTTAACACACTACATTGCATTATGGTTAGTTAACACACTACATTGTATTGTGTCTGTTAACACACTACATTTATGGTCAATGAAATAACTACATTACATTAGGATAATGAAGTGATTACATTCTATTCTGGACAATAAAATGACTTCATTGTACATGTACTGTATTGTGAGCAATAGACTCATTAAATTGCATTGTGGGTAATAAACTCATTACATTATGGGCAATAAACTCTATACAATGCATTATGGACATCAACTGATTTTATTTTGGCCAATAGACTGACTGTATTGTATTGTTGGCAATAAACTCATTTACATTGCATTGTGAGTAGTAAACTCATTTTATTACATTGTGGGTAGTAAACTTGTTACATTGTATTGTGGGTAGTAAGCTCATTGCATTGTGGATATGAGTAGACTCATCATATTGCTTTGTGGGTAGTAAACTTATTACATTGTATTGTGGGTAGTAAACTCGGTACATCAGGGCTCTAATGGCAACCAATTTAGTTGCCATGGTGCCTAAAATTTTTGATTGGCGCCTAAAATTTTTCCATAAGTCGCCAAATTGGCTACCATTTTTTATTTGACTTGGCGATCATCAAATTCAAGAAATTTTCACATTTTTAACAATTTTTCTGAAAAAGCGAAAAGAAATTTAAAAGAAGAGGAAATTATTTTTAGCAATGGACATTTCAAGTTTTCTTAAGCACATCATTGGTCCTTATATTCTATTAACCTTTATAGTTGGCGCCTTAGAAAAATTGCCTGGCGACTAAAAATTTGCATTGGCAACTAAATTTTTTTAATAAGGCGCCAGCTGGCGCCTAAATTTTAGAGGCCTGTACATTGCATTGTGGGTAGTAAACTTATTACATTGCATTGTTGGTAGTAAACTTGATCATTACATTGTATTGTGGATAAAAAGACTGACTTAATAATATAGTATTGTGGGCAGTAAACTCATTACATTATATGATCGAAAAAAACATTGAATTCACCATAATGTGGGCATTACAGTAAAAACAAAAATGTTTATACTTATACATGGGCATTGTTTCAGAATAATTGAATTCTCAGAGATGTTGAGATAACAATGAGTGTTGTGAATGTGTTTATAAGCAATTATAGATGTTGGTAATGAAATTTGGCATATATGCTGCCAGTCCAAAACATTTTTTTAAGACTTGGCATTGCAATTCACAATTGACTTTTCTGTTTGGGTATATTCTGTATTTGGAATCAAATCATGTCAGCTAGCAGTAGGTCTGAACACAATCATGTCCTTTGTAATGAAAAGGAGTAGAGTTGGCAGAGAATTATAGCTTCCTGTTCTAATGAAGCAACTAGATTTCCTGTGAGGTATTTTATCCAGACTGCCTTTATTAATTTGGACACCTCAATTCAGTCAAATAAATTATCATACCATGTTAGATAAAAATAGTGTATTGTTCACATAACACATTCATTTTGTGAACATCATACCAAAGGCTTATTAATGGAGACATCCTAATTTAAATGAAATTAGGTAATAAATGTACCATAATGGGGAAGTGTATATTCAATAAATCTTCAGTAATTATTTATCAGACAATTATATCTCTTTGGATACCAAACCATTGACTACACTGCGTATGTGAAGTTCTGATAGTCAGACATTAAATTAGGCTTTTAGATTGACGTACAGAAAATAGTAAAGAGGACCTTTTGAATGAGAGATTATTTTCACCATTATAGAAGTTCAAGAAGGATTAAAAATTGTTGATCAAAGATTATTTGTTAAAGGACAATTTCTGAACATTTTTATTTTTTGAAAAATAAGGTCTGACAGTACAAGTCATACTAAAGAAAAAAAGAGAATGTGTGTGCTTGCTGCTAATGCCACTTTTACATATACCTTGTAGATATTCCACTTTTACACAAATCTTCAATGATCGATGATTCATTGTGCAATTGATTAACAGTTCAAAATTGTAGTCAAAATAGAAAATGGAATAGATATTTACTACATGTATATCCTGAAGTATACTTATTGAGGAAAAAAATGACAATCAAAATATAGATTGTCAACAATCTTAGGAAACAAATAAGTGTGTTATGAAATCAAATGAAGTTTTGTAAGTCAGTAAATGCAATGAATTCTCTTAGTGTTTAGTCATTTGAGTATTTCTTAGCATAATATTTGTTTATGTTTGCTAAGTTGACAATTGTATACTCTAGTTATCTGTCCACACTTTGTAATTTTGTACTCTAGCTATCTTTCCACATTTTGTATACCCTGAATTTGAAAATTTAGAAAAT